ATTTAAAGCAGTGTCTAGAGGGAAATATAGCACTAAATGCCCACATGAGAAGTGAGGAAAGATCTAAAATTGACACCTTACTGTCAAAAATAAAAGAACTAGAGGAGCAAGATCAAACAAATTCAAAAGCTAACAGAGGACAAGAAATAACTAAAATCAGAGCAGAGCTGAAGGAAATAGAGACACAAAAAAACCTTCAAAAAATCAACGTATTCTGGAGCTGTTTTTTTGAAAAAATCAAAAAAATAGATAGACTGCTAGCCAGACTAATAAAGAAGAAAAGAGAGAAGAATTGAATAGATGCAATAAAAAATGATAAAGCGTCCTTATAGTAGAATGATTTATAATCCTTTGGATATATACCCAGTAATGGGATTGCTGGGTCAAATGGAATTTCTATTTCTAGGTCCTTAAGGAATGTTCATTACAGCACTGTTTACAATAGCAAAGACCTGGAATCAACCCGAATACCCATTGATGATAGACTGGATAGGGAAAATGTGGCACATATACACCATGGAATATTATGCAGCCATCAAAAATGATGAGTTTGTGTCCTTTGTAGGGACATGGATGAACCTGGAAACCATCATTCTCAGCAAACTGACAGAGGGGCGGAAGATCAAACACCGCATGTTCTCACTCATAGGCGGGTGTTGAACAATGAGAACACATGGACATAGGGAGGGGAGCACTAGACACTGGGGTCTGTTGGGGGGAAATGGGGGAGGGAGGGTGGGTGGGGAGGTGGGGAGAGATAGCATGGGGAGAAATGCCAGATATAGGTGAAGGGCAGGAAGGCAGCAAATCACACTGTCATGTGTGTACCTATGCAACAATCTTGCATGTTCTTCACATGTACCCCAAAACCTAAAATGCAATAAAAAAAAGAAAAAAAATGATAAAGGGGATATCACCACCAATTCCACAGAAATACAAACTACCATCAGAGATTACTACAAACACCTCTATGCACATAAACCAGTAAATCTAGAAGAAATTGATAAACTCCTTGACACTTATGCCCTCCCAAGACTAAACCAGGAAGAAGTTGAAACCCTGAATAGACCAATAACAAGGTCTAAAGTTGAGGCAGCAATTAATAGCCTACCAACCAAAACAAGTCCAGGACCTGATGGGTTCTCAGCCACATTCTACCAGACATGCAAAGAGGAGCTGATACCATTCCTTCTGAAACTATTCCAGACAATACAAAAAAAGGGAATCCTCCCTAACTCATTCTATGAGCCCAACATCATCCTGATACCAAAACCTGGCAGAGACACAACTTTTTTTTTTTTTTTTTGAGACAGAGTTTCACTCTTGTTACCCAGGCTGGAGTGCAACGGCACGATCTCGGCTCACTGCAACCTCCGCCTCCTGGGTTCAGGCAATTCTCCTGCCTCAGCCTCCTGAGTAGCTGGGATTACAGGCACGTGCCACCATGCCCAGCTAATTTTTTGTGTGTGTGTTTTTAGTAGAGACGGGGTTTCACCATGTTGACCAGGATGGTCTCGATCTCTTGACCTCGTGATCCACCCGCCTCGGCCTCCCAAAGTGCTGGGATTACAGGCTTGAGCCACCACGCCCGGCCGAGACACACCTTTTTAGGCCAATATCCATGATGGACATTGATGTGAAAATCTTCAGTAAAATACTGGCAAATTGAATGCAACAGTACATCATAAAGCTCAACCATCATGAACAAGTCGGCTTCACCCCTGGGATGCAAGGCTGGTTCAACATATGCAAATCTATAAATGTAATCCATCACATAAACAGAGTCAAAGACAAAAACCACATGATTTTCTCAATAGATGCAGAGAAAGCCTTTCACAAAATTCAACAGCCCTTTATGCCAAAAACTCTTAATAAACTAGGTAACAATGGAATGTATCTCAAAATAATAAAAGTTATTTATGACAAACCAATATCATATTGAATAGGCAAAAACTGGAAGCTTTCCCTTTGAAATCTGGCACAAGACAAGGTGCCCTCTCTCACCACTCCTATTCAACATAGTATTAGAAGTTCTGGCCAGAGCAATCAGGCAAGAAAAATAAATAAAGGGTATTCAATTAGGAAAAGAGGAAGTCAAATTGTCTCTATTTGCAGATGACATGATTGTATATTTAGAAGACCCCATCGTCTCAGCCCAAAATTTCCTTAAGATGATAAGCGACTTCAGGAAAAACTCAGGATACAAAATTAACGTGCAAAAATCACAAGCATTCCTATACACCAATAACAGACAAACAGAGCCAAATTATGAGCAAATTCCCATTCACAATTGCTACAAACAGAATAAAATACCCAGGAATACAACTAACAAGGGATGTGAAAGACCTCTTCAAGGAGAACTATAAACCACTGCTCAGGGAAATAAGAGAGGATACAAACAGATGAAAAAATATTCTATGCTCATGGTTAGGAAGAATCAAATTGTTAAAATGACTATACTGTCCAAAGTAATTTATAGATTCAATGCTATCCCCATCAAGCTATTATTGACCTTCTTCACAGAACTGGAAAAAACCACCTTAAGCTTCATATGGAACCAAAAAAGATCCTACATAGCCAAGACAATCCTAAGTAAAAATAAAACAAAACTAGAGGCATCATGTTACCTGACTTCAAACTATACTACAAGGCTACTGTAATCAAAACAGCATGGTACTGGTACCAAAACAGAGATATAGAACAATGGAACAGAACAGGGGCCTCGGAAGTAATGACACACATCTACAACCATCTGATCTTTGACAAACCTGAAAAAAACAAGCAATGTGGAAAGGATTTCCTGTTTAATAAATGATGTTGGGAAAGCTGACTAGACATGTGCAGAAAGCTGAAACTGGACCCCTTCAAGACACCTGACACTAAAATTAACTCCAGATGGATTAAAGACTTAAACATAAGACCTAACACCATAAAAACCCTAGAAGAAAACCTAGGCAAAACCATTCAGGCATAGGCATAGGCAAGGACTTTACGACTAAACCACCAAAAACAATGGCAAGAAAAGCCAAAATAAACAAATGGGATCTAATTAAACTTAAGAGTTTCTGCACAGCAAAAGAAACAATCATTAGAGTAAAACAGCAACCAATAGAATAGGAAAAAAATTTTGCAAGCCACCCATCTGACAAAGGGGTAATATCCAGAATCTATGAAGAACTTAAACAAATTTACAAGACAAAAGCAAACAACCTCATCAAAAAGTGGGCTAAGGATATGAACAGACACTTTTCAAAAGAAGACATTTATGCAGCCAACAAACGTATGAAAAAAATGCTCATCATCACTGGTCATTAAAGAAATGCAAATCAAAACCACATTGAGATACTATCTCACACCAGTTAGAATGGTGATCATTTAAAAATCTGGAGACAATAGATGCTGGAGAGGATGTGGAGAAATAAGAGCACTTTTGCACTGTTGGTGGGAGTGTAAATTAGTTCAACCATTGTGGAGGACAGTGTGGCGATTCCTCAAGGATCTAGAAATAGAAATACCATTTGACCCAGCAATCCCATTACTGAGTATATATACCCAAAGGATTATAAATCCTTCTATTATAAAGACACATGCACACATATGTTCATTGTGGCACTGTCATGGAATACTAGGCAGCCATAAAAAAGGATGAGTTCATGTCCTTTGCAGGGACATGGATGAATCTGGAAACCATCATTCTCAGCAAACTGACACAAGAACAGAAAACAAAACACCTCATGTTCTCACTCATAAGTGAGTGTTGAACAATGAGAACACATGGACACAAAGAGGAGAACACCACATACTGGGGCCTGTTGAGGGATGGGAGAGCTGGTGGCGGGATAGCAGGGCGTGGGAAATTGGGAAGGCATAACATTAGGAGAAATACCTTATGTAGGTGATGGGGTGATGGATGCAGCAAACCACCATGGCATGTGTATACCTATGTAACAAACCTACATGATCTGCACATGTACCCCAGAACTTAAAATATAATAAAAATAATAATAACCAGAAAAAAAAAAAGGTGAGCAAAGGGAAGGGTAGTGGATGGGGGGTGGGGGAGGAGAGATGGGGATAGTTAATGGATTAAAAAAAATAGAAGAATGGATAAGGCCAGGAACAGTGGTTGACACCTATAATCCCAGCCCTTTGGGAGGCCAAGGAGGAGGGATCACTTGAGCCTAGTAGTTCAAGACCAGCCTGGGCAACATAGTGAGAGCCTCTCTTTGCAAAAAATACAAAAACTAGCTGCGTGTGGTGACTCATGCCTGTGGTCCCAGCTGATTGGGAGGCTGAGGTGGGAGGCTCACCTGAACCCAGGGAGGTTGAAGTTACAGTAAGCTGTGATCCAGCCCACTGCGCTCCAGCCTGGGCAGCAGAGTGAGGCCCTGTCTCAAAACAAGCAAACAAACAGAATAAGACCTAGTATTTGATAGCACAACAGGATGACTCTAATCAATAATAATTAAATTATACATTTAAAATAATTAAAAGGGCATAACTGGATTGTCTGTAACACAAAAGATATACGCTTGAGGGGGTGGATATCACATTCTTTATGATGTAATTATTATGCATTACATGCCTGTATGGAAACATTTCATGGACCCCATAAATATCTACATTTATGTACCCACATAATGGGCAAAGAACATGAATATTTTCCAAAAGAAGACATACCAAAAGTTAACAAACATATGAAAAATGCTCAACAATACTAATCATCAGACAAAAGCAAATTAATACCACAATGAGATATCATCTTACACCAGTCAGAATGGCTATTACTAAAAAGTCAAAAAACAATACATGTTGGCAAGGATGCAGAGGAAATGAAATGCTTACACATTGTTGGTGGGAGTGTAAATTAGTACAACCTCTATGGAAAACAGTATGAAGATTTCTCAAAGAACTAAAAATAGAACTACCATTGATCCAGCAATCCCACTACCAGGGATCTGCCCTGAGGAGAAGAAATAATCACATTAAAAAGATACCTGATGCTTTTGTAGTTCATGAGCGTGATGATTGGGTGTTCACGTACATGCATGAGATGTGTCACCCTCAAACTTTGTTGCGAAGTTGGAACATTGCCTGTCTGACATGAAGAAAATTTTAACTTTAAAAAGATACCTGCCCTTGTATGTTTATCATAGCACCATTTAAAATAGCAAAGATTCAGAATCAACCTAAGTGTCCATCAATGGATAACTGGAAAAAGAAAATGTGGTGTATATATAGAACTCCGCCACAAAAAAGAATGAAATCGTGTCTTCTCCAGCAACATGGATGGAATTGGAGGCCATTATTTTAAGTAAAATAATTTAGAAGCAGAGAGTCAAATACTACATGTTGTCACTTATAAGCAGGAGCTAAACAATGGGTCCACATGAACCTACCGAATGGAGTGATAGACACTGGAGTCTCGGAAAGGTGGGAAAGTGGCAGAGGGGTAAGGAATGAGAAGCTACCTAATGGATACAATGTACACTATTCAGGTGATGGTTACACTAAAAGCCCCCAGACTTCACCGCTACACAGTATGTCCGTGTAGCAAAATTGCACTTGTACCCCCGAAATCTGTTTTTTAAATAGGAAGTAGGGCAAACCCAATATGACTGGCATTCTTAGAAGACGGGGCCTGCATGCACGGAGGGAAGACCAGTGAAGAGGCAAGCCATCTGTAAATCAAGGGTAGCCATCTACAGAATCCAGGATAGATGCCCCGGAGGAACTCAACCCTGCGGGCATCTTGATCTAAAACAAGCTTGTCCAACCCACAGCCCGCTGGTGGGGTCGTGGTGGCATGTGGCCCAGAATGGCTTTGAATGCGAGCCAACATGAATTGACAAACTTTCTTAAAACATTAGGAGACTTTTTGGTGATTTTTTCTTTTTTTTAGCTCACCAGCTATCAGTGTATTTTATGTGTGGCCCAAGACAACTCTTCTTCTTCCAATGTGGCCCAGAAAAGCCAAAAGATTGGACACCCCTGAATTATAGACCATTCTGCAACTAAAACTGTGAGAAAAATAGATGCCTGTTGTTTAAGCCACCCAGTCTGTGGTATTTTGTGATGGCAGCCTTAGCAATCTAATGCACAACCTTATTTCTTATGTTCTATTCCTGTTCCTGTGTGCTCTATCACAAGTGAAATGCTGGAAATTCTGAAGATATGAATGCTTCCAGTGTAAATACATTTCTTAAGAACCTGCTGCAAAGTTTGTGTAAATGACTTTAGAAATTATGGCCCACAAGATGATTCCTATGGCAATGGAGAGATGGTTTTTAAAATAAACTTCTATGGTAATATAGATGACTTAGGAGCAACCATGAAGTTGATTTGTGGGAGTTCCAGCCAGGATCTTACACTTAGCTTTATTAGTGTACCAGAGTTGGCTGAAAACAAGAATGCTGACTTTTGCCACTCAAGCTCATTGAAATGTACAAAGCATACAGAAAACGTATTACTTTTCAGTAAGGAGTATTTCTTTCTAGTGGCTAAAATACTCCTACTCCTTTCTGAGACATTTTCTTCTCACCAGCAAAATACTAAGGAAGACATATTGTCAAATTGGCCAGGTACAGTGACTCATGCCCATAATCCCAGCACTTTGGAAGGTCGAAGCGGGTGGGTCACTTGGGGCTAGAAATTGGAGACCAGCCTGGGCAACATGGCAAAACCCATCTCTACAAAAAATTAAAAAGTTAGCCAGACATGGTGGCATGTGCCTGTGGCCTCAGGTACTCTGGAGGCTGAGGTGGAAGGATCGTTTGAGCACAGGAAGTCAAGACTTCAATGAGCCATGATCACACCACTGCACCCCAGCCTGGGCAACAGAGCAAAACCTTGTCTCAAAAAAAAAAAAAAAAAAAAGTGTTGGGAGTGTAGCATTAGAGCGAAGGAGGGTGATGGACAGTTGTAGAGGTGTTCAACCAGCTCTTGGTCCCTGTCCCAGCAGAGCCACTCTGCCGGCACAGAAAGCTGGTGCTCTCCAGAGTAGCATCTCTCACCCAGACAGTGCCAGGTTGGCACTGCCAACTTTGCATGCTCCAAGGTGACCCTGCTTTTCCTGTTTACTATTTATCCAAAAAGGACACAATTTGACTTGTGTCAATTTGATCTGGAAAAGAAGGATTTGATTTCCCGTTTCTAATGACAAATCACATTTAGGTTGGCATTTTAGCTGTTCACAAATTCTCCTACTCCTTTCTGAGACATTTACAGGCAGTTTCTTGTTTTACACTGAGAGATATCAATCATCCCCACTATATGTGGATTTTACTAAGCACTGTGAGTGGCCTTTCCTCCAGGTTTTGGAAAGGGTAAGATTAAAAATATTGAGCTACAAAGTATTGGTCAGGATACAGAGCAACCGGAGCTCTTATATGTACATTATTGCTGAGTTCAGCCACTTTAGAAAACAGTTTGACAATAACCACTAAAATTAAACATACACCTATCCTATGACCCAGCAATTCTGCTTCTGCACATACACAAAAGAGAAAATAGTGCTACTGCCAATCAAAAGACATATGCCAATGTATTCTTTTTTTCTCTCTCTCTGAGACACAGTCTCTCACTCTGTTGCCCAGGCTGGAACGCAGTGGTGCAATCTCGGCTCATTGCAACCTCCACCTCCATGATTCAAGTGGTTCTCCTGCAGCGATTCTCCTGCCTCTGCCTCTCAAGTAGCTGGGATTACAGGTGTGCACCACCACGCCTGACTAATTTTTGTATTTTTAGTAGAGAGGAGGTTTAGTCAGGCTGATCTCAAACTCCTGACCTCAAGTGATCCACCTGCCTTGGTCCCTCAAAGTGCAGGGATTACAGGCATGAGCCAGGGCGCCCAGCCAACATAGGTATTCTTAAGTTTTATTTATAAGCCAATACTGAAAATAATCTGGGTGCCCATCAACTGGAAACTGGATAAATTCTGATATATTCTGATAATGGAATGCTATCCACAAATTTTAAAAGTCTACTGATACAAGCAACAACATGAATGAATCTCACCCACATGTGCAGTGAAAGAAACTAGACACAAAAGAGAAATACTCTGTAATCCCATTGATAGGAAGTCCACAAAGAGACTAAACTAAGGATTGTGCTACAAATCAGAATAGTGGTCACTTCTGGCAAAGGCCAGGGGTAGACAAGGAAAGAGCACAAGGGAGCTTTCGCCAATGCCATAAGTTTTTTTTAATCTTGATCTAGGTGGTAGCTACAGAAGTATATACATATGTATTGAGCTGTATACTTATATTTTGTGTACTTCAATGTGCACTTTGGTTTTGTAGCTAAAAAGAAAACTAAGTAAATGAATAAGTAGATTCTAAGTAAGAGACTAAATGGGTAGAAGCAATGATCCTTCTCATTTTTTTGTCTTTTCTAGACAATGCTTAAAGCCATAAAGGAGTAGAAATTAGTAGTATTGACACAGAAATGAATAGTCTTTAAAACAGCTATGGCAGGCCGGGTGCAGTGGCTCAGGCCTGTAGTACCAGCACTATGAGAGGCCAAGTTGGGAAGATCACTTGAGCCCCAGGAGTTCAAAACCAGCCTGGGCAACATAGCAAGACCCACCCCCACCTACACTTTTTTAATTAAAATATAAATATATAACAAAACAAAATAAAATATCCATGACATCACATTATTCAGATTTTTACAAATAATTTTTTAATAAATCCATGTATTTTCTCATATGGAAATGAAAAATACCATTCCATTTTAAATGCTCAGGGACTCTTGATTTTCCTCAGAGTCTGCAGTTTGACTTTAACAATCAAACACACAGCACCATCTCTACCCTTAAACCATGCTTGAAATCTCTGTTAGATTATGAAAAGTGATGCAGGGAAGTTTTTTAACTTCTCAAATCTGAAAAAGACCAGCTGGATTTCTGTAAAGAAAGAATAAAATAGAATTGATGCTTTTTAGCCGTGATCCTTCTCTGGTGGGAAATGCAACGTCAATACAAATACTTTCCACATTTGGCCTCCTGTTTGTTAGGAAAACAAGAAACAAGAAGTTGACCTTGGGAGGACGAATCTTGGGCCAGAACTCTGCTCCAGGCAAAAAAGGTAGCAGGATCAGCAACCACTACGGGACTGAAGTGGGAGGAAGGGTGTTGGACACATTGAGATAAAGTCTAGGAAACTCGGCTGTTGTCTGGAAGCAATGTGCAGAAAAGTGGAGACGCACTTCAGGAGAAGGAGGCAGTGGAGTTTGAATGACAGCTTGTCTTCATCCTTAGCGCCCTCCTGCTGACCTCCTGGAAAATTAGATTTGCACCCAAGGGAAAAAGTCTGCATGCATTTCCTCAGCCATAATTTACTTTTTTTAAAAAAGATGGTATTAGACAAGAAAATGATTAGACGCTAAAAAGAAGAAAAAATGTGACATAATGGAATAGAAAGAACTATCCAAAACTTTCTTTGAAGAGTTTGTTCTTCCATGAGTGGGTTATGTGGCCTTGTGTGACACGTTCCGCCAACTTTTCTGGGTCACAGATTCCTCATTCGTGAAATGGAGGGACTGAGTTGGATAATCTCTATCAGCCCTTCCTGCCCTAGCGCTAAGTTGTGTTCCATATTCTCTATTTAAAGAACCTGAAAAAGATGTGATAAAGTTTTAAAAAGAGTTTCATCAAATATGCTTTAAAAAGGAAAGTTGGTGCTTAGAGGGGTCCGCTTCCAGTAATGTGACATTTTACGCCTCTGAGCATCTCCTCTGAGCTGATCTCATTTTGGTACTTTTTCTCTCTCTGTATCTGATTCTTCCAAATGCCAGTTCCTCTATTAACATCAGTCTCAATTCAGAATACTAACCACCCTCCTGTACCATCTTGGGAGCTCCAAATAGAATGTTACTAAAAGGACAATTGTTTTTTGTCTATTTACAGAGACAGAGAAAGGGATGAAGGCAATCATCAAAGCCTCAGCTCCCTTCCTCGGGCCCTGGAAGACGGAAATACACCAGCTTCACTGGGAGCAAAGCTCTGGCTCAGCAGCCTGGCCAGGATGTCTCTACTAAGAACCATTTATACAGGTTCACTGGCCTAAGCAAAATTGAGGGTTCACTGTTCAATTTCAACAGAAA